TAATAGTAACATCACTGCTTATAACACGATTTACTGTAAAGTAGAGCTAGACTTTTGTTTGTATCTATTAGTTTCATTTGGTCTATGACAATTTAATGCATTGGAAATGTGATTGTTTGCCAAGCAGACCAGTGTGCCTGGTTCTGCTGTCCTGGTCTGTGTTTCTTTTGGATATCTGAATGATGCTGGGCAATACCTGTATGACCTGGTGAGTGGCTGTGTTGTCCCACTGCCGCTATGAATGTATTCAAATTGAGGTAGAATACTTGAAAATCCACCCTTTAAGAATTTCAAGTGGAAAACCTTGTTGACCAAAAATATCTATATTTTATATATATCTATATCTATACCTGTTATTGTTGACCAAAAATATCTATAAATCCCTTCATTGTACCAGAGTGAGGTCACCTCCCCTGTCTCTCTCCCTGCTTAACCTTATAGCTCTGCATTTAGAGAATTCAGAGGGTATGTAGAAATCAGCCCCCTCCCCCCCAGTTCTTCTTTTTAGTTAGAAGGACCTCCTGTGTTCATTAAAAACCATGGTACATTTGTGTATGCTGTTCTCACCCTTCTTTGGAAGCTCAGCTCTTTCACATAAAAACCCCTCTTCCAGACTGGCTGGGTCAGAGACGATATATCACATCACAGCCCAGAGATGCAGATGCCCACCAAAAAGGGGATTGAAGCTTTTCCCATCAACTTCATTCCACTAAAGACTCACAGGACAAAGCAGAGCTGTTTGTGCCAAGATACAGCAGGATAGGTAATACATGTTCCTCTCTGTGTTAGTATTGATGACTTTAAGGTTCTTCCTAGTTAAGAGGTATATACTATGGCATTTCTTAATTGTTTAAGGAATATCTCATACTTTAAGGGGATTGTGCTGATATGCTTCCTCTTATTTATATAATTTTGTAGAGGTGCAGAGAGTTATTGTCAGAACATAGCTCGTTCTATCTGTAGACCTTACAAAATCTACTGCCTACAATTTATCTACCGTCTTGTTTTCTTATCAAAAAGCCAAAACTGAGTCTGTTCTTCCCTTTAATAACCTTCCAGGAGCACAGTGATAACTGCTACTTTTTAACAGAAGTCTTTTGCAGACCAGTATAGAACAGGAGAACGTTTATCAGAAAGTAGTGATACTTGAGCATATTGATAGAAAGAAAACAGAGAGGAACAAAGCAAAACAGTCATGAGCTAACATCTGTACCTCTTTTATTCTGTATGATTATTATATTCATCGTGGCTACACTTAGTGAATGAAGATTTGGGAAGCGTTGTTTACAAGTGCATTGGTGGCTAAAAAGGCCGATATGAGATAGGCACGTCCAGTTGAAAAAGGCACAGCAGAAACCATACCTCAGAAATGTAAAGATATTCCTTGGCCCATCTTCTGTTAAAATTTTCAGCCTGTCTAGATATATACAGGGATTTTTTTTTTAATACGGTACCTATTGTTTCTTTTTCACAGTTATCCTCTAATACTAGGAAATCAGAAGCCCCAGACACAGAGCAGGTAAACATGAAACCCATCACTAATCCAAGGGATTTCAATTTGAAAAAGAAATTGTGTTATTTCACAGTAGGGGAAAGGGACACAAGCTCCTTTGTCTGCAGCCTGTGACAGAGCTTTCCCAGCTGGGCAGTGGGGCTGCTCAGCCTTCACCTGCTTGCCTGGCCCTGACACACACAGGAAGGAGGAGAGAGAAACCCCAAAGAGATGCAGCTTCTCACGTTGCAAGTTAGGGGCTCCTCTCCAAGCTTGTCATATGGCAAAAGTGGATGCAGGAACCAGTTATTGCTCAGGGTGAGTGTACACCTTCTATTTCCCACCCACAAAACCTTGTGCCAGGTAGTTGCCGGCAAGAAACCAAGCAGAAGCAAGACCTGCAGATGACACTAAACCAGCTCTCAAATCATACGGGTTACAAAAAATTTCCAGGAGAGGGGGAGTTATTATTGCATTTCTTCTCTTATTGCACAATACTGGTTTTTCAGCCACTAGGTATTCAGTGACAGATCTCTACTTAGGTAGTCAGTGACAAAAGGTCAGTTGGGGGTCACATCATCTTTTCCCATGAAAAATGCTGACTGTTTGCTGTTGGTATTTTGACAAATTTAGACCTGTGTGGCTTTTCCAAAAAAAACCAAAATATTTTGTCTAGTCCAGTTTTTCAAGCATGCAATAAGTATGGCTCTCCAGTTTCATCTTAGAAGCTCACATTGTTTGCAGAAAAAGGAAAAAGCAAAATTAACTATATTTTGCTTGTCTGACTTTAGTGAGTGTAAAAATGTAAGTCACCAAAAAAAAAGCAGAAATGGTTTTGAAAGCTTTTGTAAGTACACTGTAAGAAAATTCTAGGTTCATTGCAAAAGAACTAATCATTTTCTGCTTAAAATTATGCATTTGATAATTGTGCAAAGCATATTTCCAAATAAATTTAAAAACCCTATTGTAATTTTAAAAAGCAGACAAAAACCAAACAAATGCAAACAAAAAAAAAAAGGAAAGTAGAAGGTACAAGACTGGCTTTAGTACGTTCTGTTACTTGTTTTAACAAAAATGTGATTTCCTCCTATTCTTTTCACTGAAAATCAGACATCAAAAGCAAACCAAACAGTAGAGATGTTCAATCTATCAATCTAAATTGGCCCAGTACTGGTAAAATTGCATGAGGAAGAAATATACAGTATGTTAGTTCTGCTGTTGAGAAAATACAGTTCAAGTAGTCTGTACTACCATATGACACACAGTGGCTCCCTTTCTGTGCGATATAATTAGGAAACAAGATGTAGCATCTGATGGAGTCATGCCTTTGAAGAACATGACAACTTTTGAATAAATAAGAAGGAAGATGTGAAAGTTATTGTGTAGCCTCCTTCTCACTTTTTTTGAGGAGAAAAAAAGTACTTTGTTTTAAATGTATATAATTCGTTTTATTTTTTTCAGCTGGGACATTTTTCAAATAATTTTTTAAAATAAATTTTTTAAATAAATATTTGAGATATTTGAGTGTTTTATTTGTTTTATTTCTAATTTTTTATATACAATGTAAATAAGGTTGTATACATGCACATTTCTGTTTGTAAAACATAATAGTCTGTACTAAAAACTTACATGGCTTTAACATTACAATTCAGAAATGCTACTTAAACAGAACAATCTAACATTCTTCTTCTTTTTTTTTTTTTTACACAATAAGATTTCAGGAAAATATACTAAAACATTTTGAATTCCAACAGACAAGTATTTGCTCAATTGAAAGTGGTTCAATTAAGGCATCTAGCCAGCTCTGCAGACAACCATATATTATGTATGGTTTGAAGAGGAAGTAACTAAGCAATATATTCTGGACTTTACTTCCTTATTTATTCATATCATCATTACTGGAGCAGGTTCTTGTCTGTTGTAATTCACTGTATCTGGTTCTTATGCAATAATGGCAATTTATATCATATAAGAACTGAGCTGAGATAGATTCTGCTTATCAAATTTTATGTAGCTTGAATTAGCTTAAAATTCAATGCACTCTTACATTGCTACTGAAACTTTGCACACTTACCTTTCAGAAAAGTTTTCAGAAGTGCGGGGTGTACAAAAAAACCTCCAAAATTTGCATACATCAGTTTTAGAGAGGACAAGGCAAAATTGTTCTTGTAATTATGGGAAATCCCCTGTTAACATGTTAATCTTCTGAGTGAACAGTCAAATCTGAGGCAATGTCAAGAAAATATTGGGCAATATGACTAAACTATCCTCCCAATTAAGTTTTCCAGTTATTGGCCAGAAAATTTCTGTATTTTTCCTTGTACAGGAAACTGGAGTACCTAGAAACAGATTTTGAAACTTAATCATCCATATTGCTATTTCCTATTCTCAAAAAGATCTGAAATTTAAGTTTTTAAAGCACTGAATTAAAAACACTATTAATCACTGTATTTTTCTGATGTGAAATTTCCAAGTTGCACTATAAATTAGTGTGCATGCATAGTGAAAGTATGCAATTGTCAAAGGTTAGTCAACTGATAGTCATTTAATAAATAACTGATATGCAGTTATTGGAGATAATTCAACACATAATCATAGTATATCTACAATATTTTATGCAGATCATACATACTTTTAACACTGAAATTTTTTTACAAAATTTGCTTTCAAATAGCATGTAACATAAGTGATATGAGAAAAATCAGAAAAGATTTTTTTCTTTCTGAGCTCTAATTCCTTAATATATCATATATTAAATTTAAGATTAAACATACTCTAAAATATGGTATGTTTAGAAAATTTTAGGACACTGTTCTAAATATGTTTTTTAAAACTTTTTGTTAAAAACAAAACAAAACAAAACAAAACAAAGCAAACATTTTCTAAAGAAAACCAAGGATCTAGCATAAGCAATATGAGTAAATCCTAATTTGGTTCTACAGCTGCTGCTTACTCCAAACTCCACTTTGAAATAAATGCTACTCATTTAAACATACTGTTAAAAATGAACCTCACCTCTAAAATAAAGACTATAAGATGCTGACTGTACAAAGACTGTAAGATACAGAGGACTCGACCTTTAGATGAGGTACTTGAAGTCCTTTCCTGTTCTATGGAATGTTACTTGCAGCACTACTTGCAGGATAAAATATGATTCAATCCTGTACATCCTCGCTCTTCTGTTCTTAGACATGGGTCTTATTGTTTCCTCATAAAACCTTGAAGGCATGCTATGCAGTTGAAAGTTACACTCTGGGAGAAGCAGTTTACAAGAGCAAGAACCTCTAGTCTAAGGAAGGCTTGCAAAGCAGTACCCTATCACTGTGAAAAAGCACAGTATATGGTCTGGTCTTTGTGAGACAGTAAAATCTCTTCATTTTCCCTCTTTATTTGGGAAGAACAGTCTAGTTTGCACTGCTCTACATTCCATAAGCATGATGACTAAGTCTCAGCTCTACTGACATATATTATGGAGCCCATAGAGGAAAATAAGGCTCAGTTTATTCTTAGACATAAACCCCAATTAGAAAAACAATCCTAGCTCTATAAATTATCAGGAGTTTGTTTCAAACACTGAGTCTGCCCAAGTTATCACAATTGTTGGGAAAGTACAGATCCAAAAAGAGATAACACAGTCCAGTGTCTTTGTTGAAGTGAATCTTATCATAATGATCTTTTCTATTCAGTCACTCCCCTAAACTCAACAGGATCTTTTATGTAATTTTCTAACACCTTCTGCATTGTGCAGATTTTATAAAGTCACATACATGTCATCATTCATTAAAATATGGAAGCCAGCAAAAGAAGCTATAGTGTTGGATGCTGGTATCAGGCAGGTAATCTGAGCTGCTTTGAGGTCACTATTTTCAGCCATTCCTGAAAAAGTGAAGACTTTTTCCAAAGGCCCCTGTTTGCCACTGTTCTTTTCATCTTCTTGTTGGCTTTCTGCCTCAGTGATGCACTCTGGCTCTTCATATTCTAGCTTGGTTTGAAGCATCACATGATCAGTTTTGTCTAACCATTCCTAGGAAAATTAAAATATTGGTGTTGGCAGAGATGAGATATCAATCAAAAGAAACCTGGTTGTAAGACACTGATTTTCCTTTCATAGTGGTATCTTTCCAGGATAAGCCACAACGGAGAAGATGAAGAGGAAGCAATATAGACAAGCAGGACATCAGATAGTAGGATGGAAGAAAGACAGAATGGAAATAAAACAGGCAGAACTGCATACAAATTCCACTTAATCTCAAGACCACATTAAATAGATATTTGTATTTAGTAAGGGCCTTTCGAAAATCTGAATGTGTAAAATATCTGGTGCTACCTCCTTGACAGACTTATGCATTCTTTGACCCAAGCCCTGACTTAATCTAAATTAAGACTGAGTTTACATGGAGATTTAGGCAGCATAGCATATCTGTATTAAAGCCTCAGTATTAATTTGAATCTGTACCTTTCTTTTTCAGTTTTAGTTTAAAGATACCATATACAAAAAGTTTTCAGCTTGTTATGGAAAAATCATTACTGCTCTTTGATATTGTCATTGGGTTTGTCAATGTAGATATTTGACCTGTTTTCCCTCAGAGAAAAGGTAGTAGTAATTAAGATAAACACTAAAACAGCTAATACAGAAAACTACATCACATAGGTGATGTCAGGGACTCATGAGAAACATTAAGAAAGCAAAACCAAAAACTGTAATCTATTCATCTGTTAGCCATTCTATTTCTAATAATTTGGTGACTATGCACCTCTATGGCTAAGAAAGGATGCTTCCTACTGTGACTGATGCCTCCAAAAGCATGAAGTGCCACCACCGGGTCAGCACTCACTGGCTCAGCCATCACTCTGTCAGCACTTCACATATATAAAGGGTAAGACCAGGCTGAAGCAAACTCCCTGACATATCATGTGCAGGAATGGATGCAAACACCACAATGTCATCACAGTGGATATTGTGCCTCCGGACACCTGTAAATTCTTCTCCAGCAGATTCTGTCTTTTATAACAAATGTCTTTTCACGGTGCCAAAGCAGCACTACATTGATTATACGAGTCCTGGTATTTGCTCTGTGAATCCTCTTGGTGATACTGCTCGAGGGGAAGGACTTTAGGGCTTTTGTCTTGGGTCAGAGTGCTTGTGCCTGTGACAGGGCAAAAATCGGTAGCTACTTTTAAATTATTCTCAACACTGTAGAGTTTACAGTCCTGCTAAGAAGGTGATGCTTACCTGGAGGTTTCCATTATGATCATTTAATAGATCAACAAATATGTATTTTGGATCTGGTATAGCAGGCATGACTGACATCTGAAGCCTGCAAAAAGTAAAGAAAATATAAATTGATGTTTCATTATAACATAGCCATTCATACAAAAATCCACTTCAGTGCAGTTCTGTACCCACAAATATATTTTACATGAGAGTACTCTAGTCTCAATTTCTTTTAAATGTGTTCTAAAGTAAAAAAAGCAGTTACAACAGTATGATAACACCATGAGGCTAAAGGTACTTTTTCTAATAAATTTTTGACCCAACCCCACTCTTGTAAAATCTGGACTTAATACAAACTTCCAGCTAGTCAGCAAGTGCCATTCTGCTCTATGCACTAGACAGGGAAGATGGTGCAGCAACCAGTTGTATTGGCTGACTCAGAGAACACCGATGTAAATTTGAAACACAGAAGCATAGGAGAAAAAATGCAATTTAAGATCTAAAAGGTGATCAGAGTCCCAAATATTTTCATCTCTGAAAATACTGCATATTTAGCCTTTTTTTCCCCCTAAAAAAGCCAAAATCTGAGGGTTTCACAAGTATCATTTGTTGTTTGGTAGTTGTTTTTTTTTTTTTAATTGCAAATTCTAAACATGAACAGCATCATTCAGTTGCAAATCCAAATATTGATATTGTCTCAGTAAAGTTAAATGCACTCAAGCTTACTTTATCCTTCTGCAAACAGACATTGAGTTTGATGAAGATTGATGAAAGAATGTCTTTTCAGAAGAAGTAACTAAACCAACTGACTTCTCAGAGTTTAACTATATTTCTAAAAAAGTAGAAAAGTATTTAAGTGGAAGAGACAGAATTATAACCTGAAATATTGTCTTTTACCAGAATTGTTTTGGTTTTGAAAATGAAAGGCCTTGGTGTTTGGAAGGCCAGGATGCATTATTCCTCAAGGAGTAATTAAGCTACTGACTTTTACATCTCCACAATGACTTCATTTATCCAATAGGAATTTTGATTGCTAAGACTTGATCCTGAATGATAGCTAGTTAGTTAGTAGTAACCAACAAAACCATATTTACCTCTGCCGTTTACACAGAAGAATCAGGAGGATAATCATCATCAGAAGTACTGCCAGCAAACAACTTAAAACAATTACTGTGTTTGACTGAGATGTTCTATCATCATCACATGAATCTAAGAATAATCACAAAAACAGTATGTCAAAAAATTGTTTTTTGCTTTAACAATAAATGATCCTAATCATGCTAGAATGTTAATTTTTCTTTAAAGAGAAGAAAAAAACACAGAAAATTTTTAAGAACAAATAAAAGAAGTTTACTTGTTCAATTGATACTGAAAAGAAAACCTATACTCCACCAAACCTTTCAACAAAAGAAAACTGTGCTTTTATTTATCTAAATTGACCTGGACAGGACGAAGGAGTGGGCTTATAGGAAGGGTAGATGCATTATGAATGAACCAAGTATTTCTTCTCATCTTCATCATACTGCATTGACAGCGATAAAGCAACTTTGTGCTAAGATCTGTATTGCATACATCTACTTATGATCACTAAAGCTGCAAATGCTATTTTACATGAAACCTGAATGTCTCATCTCCCAACAGAAACCAAACAAACAACTCCAGCAAACAAAGCGCCAGCAAACCATAAGAGCTAATACCCAGAAAGTTACTAGTGGCAGGACAACATCTAATATGCAGGTACCAAAAAAAAAAAAATGCATTTGTGCATTTTTCTACATGCCAAGTATTCTACTTGAATCTTTTGCAATGCAACCTCAAAACTCTGCCTCCTACTATTAACCTTCTGGTCTCCACATAAATACTCTAAAAACTAAGTGATTATTCATATAGAAGCAACTGCTTAGCCTGTTCCATCTGCCTGCCCTGCTCAGCTTGCCAGGAAGCCACAAGTCAGGTTGTGACCCCTAAGTAAGGTTTCCAGAGTTTATGAAATTTCTTGAGCCCATCTTTGTCCGTGGCTTGCTCTGATGTTAGATTTAGAGTCAATAATAACTTGCCCCAGTGAAGGGGCAAGTGTCAATGTCACTTCTGATCCAGGGGCACCCAGAGTCCCTGAACCATCAGTCTGTCTCCTCTGTGCTTTCCTTCCTTGCAGCCTCTGGTCAAATGGTTCAGGTAGGGTTGATATGTGGTCACCTCTCAGAGGTGCATAGGTAGACATGGTCCTCTGTGTTTCCTCGGGGGTAATTGCCAGACACATCTGAGGACATGCTTGAAGCCTCACAATTTGCATGGTGGAGGTCAGCACTGTAGCCACTACTGCACAGGGTACACATACCAATGCTCCTGGATTTCATCCCAGCTTTGCATATATAGATTTTCCTCAAGTGATCTAATAGCCCATTGCATTTTAGAGAACTCAGATCTTGGTACACTGGACATCTGAGTGTCTCATAATTGTGATAAAGGCTAGTAGGTAGCATTTTTTACCAGCTGATATAATACAAATGTGTTAGCACGGTCTTTCCTTTACTACAGTAAATCTGGGGTTTAGTTTTGGTAGTCAGTAGAAAAACTCTTTCATCAAAGATCTAATTGAAATCAATCACACTCAGATGTATCTGTCTAGTGGGAAAGCAGTTCTCATACTGGCTTTACTTCCATTTATTCTCTTTTTCCCCATCATCCCTGTTTTGATCCATCCAGCACCTATGAACATCAGACTTCTGTGACCTCTGGTCCAGTAGTCCAACTGGATATACTTTCAAAATAAACTGCATTCAAAAATGGGGCATCAAGGATTTTCTTAGGGTTCAGGTTTGTTGTCCAAATATCCTATGAGGGCACCCCCACAACACCCACATTCACAGAACCCCCATGTATCACATCACTGTTACTGAGGGACCCTAGACATTCTTGTAACACAAATAATAAGACTATTCTTAACTTTGCTGATTATGACATAAATTGATTGCTTTATGGGCCATCAGGAACAAAAGGGACAGAGTTAAACATGGGCATTTAGATATCCACATGAACTTTCTTTGATAACAGAAGATGGAGCACAATAGTGCAACATTCATTCGCTGTGTGTTCCTAGCATCTTTTGCAGTCTTTCCTTCCCCTTTTGCAGTTAGACTATATATATATATGTGTGTGTACATATATGTGTATACACACACACACACACACACACACACACATATATATATATATAAGTTGTTACCTAATAACGTGCCATTCATCCAGAATGTTTCTGCTTCCCAGTCACTGCTGTAATTAACTACGTTGCAGTGGGGTACTAGCCTCTTCAGTCTGACCCGGAAAGAATAGCATTTCCTTGAATCAAAGCCTTGATCTCCAACACGGCAACATCTGGAAGTTCTGGACTGAGAAGGAAGGTGTATTGTTGTTAATTCTGATTTTCAAGGCAGTGCTTCAGAATGCTACATTCAGTCATGGCCACAACGCAAGGGATAAACCAACCCAAAACCTCAGAACGGAATGTTGACTTCTCTGCATTTCAAGGAATTCTGTTTCTTGATTAACTTTTTACTATACGTATCTATTCCACTTTGTATGATATTGAGTTGAAAGTCAGAACAACCATTACGTCATGCACTGTGTTACATCTGCATTTTTACAAAATACAAAGAAACTTCGATCCACAAAATATTTCAAGTTATATTTGAAAATTGAAAGATTTAAGTTGATGAAATAATATTTTGAAATACTTAGCAGCTAATTTTAAAATAAATAAAAATCCCATGTAATTTTGGTTTTTCACACTATTTCATTGTTTTTCTTATTTTTCTCTCTTTTCTCTACTCTGCTTTCTTCTTTTATCTTTCCATACTCTTTTATTCTGAATGTGAGACCTTTCCCATAGATTGTCCTTAGCTCTTTGGGTAGCAACTGGATATAACTCATTAAGTAAATTATTTCTGGCATTGCAGGAATCCAGGATCCTAAAAATCTAGATGTTTTCTGCTACCAGCCTTATTTGAAAATATAGGACAGGAGAACAATTTGAAAACAACTCTATTTCACATTCTATGGAGATGCTATTCCAGCTCCTTCCAATGTTGATTAAAAACGGGGCATTCAACTCACTTGCCACTCTCTGTCAAACGTGCTTTTGTATTGAAGCTCAAGTCTCAAGCACTTCACAGCTCTCTCTGGTTTATTACAGCTCACAGTAACTGTGTCTTCTTTCCAGAAGAAGGTCACATTTTCTGGTGGATTGGGCTTTACTAAGAAGAATAGAAACAAATTTTGCTATAAACTCTGAAAAAGAAGCACCTCTCACTTAAAATTATTGTTGTTCCTTCCTTGTCTCGGTTTCCCTGAATAGCAATTGGAGAAGGTGGGCTTTCTTCTTGTTGGATTTGCTTTTGTAGCTGATCTTCCTGTTAACCATCAGAGTGGAGCCTGGCACCAAAACATTGCTCACCATTCGAGGTGCCACATTAAAGGTGGTTACTATCTCATGTCAGGAACCTATTGCAAGTGCTTAAGAAAGGACTCCAGTCTCCTCATACTCCCTGTAATTTAGAGAAAGAAAAAGGTTTCTTCATTGGAAACAAAGTGATAAATTCGGTATCATAAAGACTCCAAGACACACCTGTGCAGCTGCTGGAGGCTCTGTGGGGTATGGTGGGGCATCTGCAAAAAGCACTGGCTTCCTACCTGTGCACAACTGAATCTACCCATCAGTCTTTTCAGGTGGTTGGAAGACAATGCCATGGTTTGAACTACACAGATGGTTAATCTTTAGTAGTGGGAAATGAAGCATTGAGAAGATTGTTACCTGCTTTCTCAGTCTTAGTTCCCTTTTTGTATTATGAAAATGCTGTCCTCCTAATTTAAATACTTTAGTCTGTTTTTTTCTTTGTTACCTAACCCTTTTGAAATTCATTTTATTATCAGCGGGTGTTTAATAGCCAAAATTTGAGGATCAGTCTGCAGTTTTCCAAAATTTAGTAGATATTGTTAGAATTATGACATACAAAAGTATTCTCAAAATTCAATGTCTTGATAGATTTTTGTTTAATCTCTTTTGCTGAAACATTATATTCAATTTGGAATATTTTTTTTTTCCACATAATTCTCCATTGTATATTTTCCACTAGATTTGTATTAGGAAAAAATCCTTCCACTTTAAATGCTGTAAATATGTGAAATTCCAGAAGATTTTGATAAACTAATCTCACACTAGACATGAAATATGTATTTGGGGGTAGGAAAGATTTAACAGAAAGAGGAATATCATCTCTCTGCTAGTAGTAGGATGTCCTTTTTACTCAGTACCAGAGCCACTCAACGAATTTCTGTTGATATCTGATGATGGTTTTGTGACAGCAGCTTTGATAAGAAGTAGTTTGCTGCCTCATATTGCATGGAAGATGACAAAATAACAGAAGGTTGAAAATATGAGAAAGATCATAATTCTAACAGTCAGCACTAAGACAAAAAAACTATGAACTTTTATTAATTTTCCCAATGCGTTTACCGAGAAGGCCTGCACTAGACAAAGTACACATACTCTTTTTTTTTGTATTTTTTTTCTGATTTTGAAATTGTATTTTGTGACAAATCTGAATGTCCTGTGCTATCTCACTTAGCTTCAGCTACACACTGTAACTACTGGTGACAGCAAGGGAAAAAACTCAGCATGAAATAAGTATAGTTCAGTTTTAACACACACACAAATAACATTTTATCTGGTAATGTAAGTGATTTATTCTCAAACTCAGACAGCTGGAGAATCAGTGAGGGTACTGGGATTACCAAAGTAGTTGTGACTTTACATACTTACTGTAAAAATCAGATTTTAGTTTTTTAGAAAAAAGCTCTTCACTTCCGTTGCTGTTCCTAATAGAGATGGCAAGGGTGGGTCCTTCTGTCTTAAAAAGACACCCAAAATTATAATCTTGATCCAATAAATACGTGGGACACGGCTTCCAAACTTTGTACTTGCCTTCATCAAATCTATAAATGAAATAGTATTGGTAAATGGAAAACTTACCAATTAGCACCTGTCAATTCAATTAATTTTTGTTACTGTTATTAATTTTTCTTCCTTCTTTTTTTTTTTCCCCAAACATTCCTACCAAGGGAAATCTGAGCATGGAATTTCTTGAAATGACAGATTTCACAGCGGTGTGAGGGAATTCATCACTCAAAACTTATTGAAATTCTAGCCCTAGGCTTTGATGCAGTCTGAAATAATCAAGTTTCCTTCATGCTGTTGTTTTCTAATAAGAGAATTACTTGCTCAAACAGATACTTTTGTGATTCTGTTTCCAAAAATGTACTGCAAAAAGTTCTTTCACATATACTACCCAATCAGAAAAGATCAAACATTATGACTGACTTTAACCAAAATATTAAAATTCTGTTAGCCATTAATTATGTCAGTTAATAAAGAAAATATACACATATATGTGGAAAACCCACTTTCAATACTGTAATTAGCATTAGCATTTAGCACAATGGCAGAAGAGAGACAAATCTTTCACATAATATCTGTGGTGGCAGGTTACTCACCAGGCTTATTGATTTGTACACTTCTGTAACAGTTTGGGAATATAAACAGGTTTCATGTTGAATATTAACAAATGTTAAAATCCTTTTCAGTTCACAGAAGACTCAAATAGACTTAGATATTTCAGCCTTCCAAAGCAAACCCTTAAAAAGAGAAGAATAGGCATTGACAATACTCACGTGTAAGAAAATGACACATTCTCATTGAGAAAAAGCTCTCTTGCTGCCCATGTGATCTGCATCTTCTCATTATTGAAATTGATTATTTTGGTCTTGATGGTATCTTCCAAACCTGCCCAGGAAAATGACAGAGAATATGGTTTCAGGAGTAAGTATGGAAAGCACCCCTTGATGTTTATAGGCAACCAGTATTTCAAAGATATGTATGCAGTAGTCCCAGGTGATCATAAAATAAGAAGATATAATAACTTCTAAAATACAAGGAAACAGTAAAATAACCAAGAGAGATTGAAATTACAATTTCAAAATAGCAAAATGAAAGCCTGCACAGCAACACCAGGGAAAGATTTGGCCCCATGGTCCCTTGGCCCAAAGATGTATACTGGGCCACGTGTATGCAATGCCTATACAGGGCCTATACAGGGCATATATGCAGGGTCTATGCCTTAAGGCCAGCTTACCCCCATAATACCTACTAAGGAAAACTATTTGGGAACTAATGCTATATGGAACCTCTCTGTAAACTCTCAAAAGTTTGCTGTAAGAAATAAGGAACTGACACCATTGGTCCAAACCAGTCAAGAGTCACAGGAATCCGGAGCAGATCAGCACAAGTAAAGGTATTACAAATTTGATCTATGTGGTTCCAGCCAATTCCACCTTAAATACAAGCGTGATCATTTAATGTTTTTTGACTATACACAGATATTATTTCCTCTCGTGATATTATTTCCTCTCCTTGTTACAGTTCTTGCTAGGGAAACAGGTTTTTTAATTCCATGTCCATTAGGATTTCACCGAAGATAGAACCTGGTATTGAAGAAATGGAGAAACTAAGAAGGCAGAAGGATTAGAAATCCATTCTATACTAAGGAGGAGGACAGATTATTTATTTTGCATTCTAGAAAACGTGAAATCATATTTAATTTAATATGAAAAAGATAGAGAAAATTTATCTTGAATACCAACAAGAAAACACTTGAAGGAAAAAACTGCAGACTGCTGTCCCTAGCCATGAAGTGTCTATCGCTAAAAACCTTTGCTGGAATATTCCTGCCTAGGAGGAATATATCAGATTTTAGTTTTGATAGCTGTTTACACTTTATGCCACTCTGGACTTTTGAAGAGGTTTGTGGTGGAAAAATTTTAAATCGTTTCTTATGAGCTTTTCATCACATCCAGTTGTTCTGATTGTTTCATGGGAATCACACACAACTATTCTCAGGGTTGCTATCTTTTACTCCATAATCGATATTAAGAATGTGAGAAAGGCATGTGAGTTCAAGTAAGCATTTTGCCTATTTTTACGCCTATATCTCTATGTCTAGATATTTTATGACTACTCTAATTAAAGTTAGTCAGAACATTTTTGTATAGGTGTATTTGTGTTGTACTACATTGTTTTGTCAAAATTATTCAAGATGGTTATGACAGAAATACAGGAGATACTGGGTAGATGTAGCTGCAGGTTTCTGCTGTGTGATTCATGGAGCTCTGGTAAAAAGGATTCTGTTCTTATTCAAAAGAAAGACTTGAAACTAACTCCTCCAGCTCCTAACTAATACCTGCAGTCTTGTTCTGTATTGTTTTCTCAAACAGAAAATCTTGTGTATCAGTACTATTACAAACAGAGACAAAAACAGGAGTTAAGACCCTCAAAAGGTATAGTAAAATGGAGTTTATCCAGGCATTTCTACCTCTGTTACAACAGACTACCTACGTACCTCTTGTTTCCTAAGTTCTCAATCTCTTTGTAAGTCCACCTACAGGTCTAAGAGATGATTTTTTCTTTGACTAAAGCCACCAAGAAATATGATAGTGGAGTGTCTAACAGTGGATTCTTGGTCTGCAATTACACTAATACTTCTGAACTTTTATGGACTACATAGTTGTGCTCCGCAATATGCATAGTGTAACTGAAATCCATATGACTTCTTGGACATATTTTCTATAAAGGTAGATAAACTTATATTTAATATATATTTGAATGTATAATTACATGTTCTCCATCTCTAAGTAAAATTGACATTTTAAAACCAAATATAAATACAAATAATCTAAATCTAAATCTAAATCTAAATCTAAATATAAATATAAATATAAATGTTAGTGAATAGAGAATACTGTACTGTCCTGAGATAATTTTTATGAATTTAGACCAAATCCTTTCAATTCCCTCTAGAAGTAACAAAATATGTACTTTCTACTTTTTAATAATTAGTCTGATTGCAGATATTTTTGCTTTGAGAAAGAATTGCTAATGATCATTCTTCAATTATGAAAATAAACCCAGGAAGAGTACTTGCTTTCTTAGTCACATATTTTCAAGGATAATTAAATTCAAAATTAATTCCAATGCTGTTTCTATGTGTACAATAGTTTGGCATGATGACAGAAAGAAAAATTCTGTTTGTAGGGCAAGGTTTTGAAGAATTTTTTTAAATCAAAACCAAACAACATTCTTCAGTTCATTCTCAGAAGGTGGCTTAACATCTTTGCAAAGAGCCGTGCATACTCATCTTCCTGCACTTTGTGAAAATAATTGAAGTAGCCTATGTGCTGAACTGAGGGGAAGGCTGTCTCACCTACAGGACAGCAAAAAGAGTGGGTGTCTGAGAGTCCCATCTTGGGTGTAGCCAACTAATCTAAGATGTGCCAGGACTCTTACCAGATGAACAGTATCAGCTCCAAACCCTCACTTGGACTTGGGCAGCTCCACTGAAAAACACAGCAGTGAATTTTTCACTATTTGGAGAGTGAACTCAACAACCAGAGTTCATCCTATTGCTCTCCAGTTGTGAGGTTGCAGCTGTTGGCCCAGGATGTGAAAAATCATCTTGCATTGATTTCTAGTGGTCAGCAAATGGTGAAGGTTGGGTTTATATATAAGACTGGTCTCATGTTACTCAGTGGTGTCAAGCTGCTAGTATCTACTGTAGAGCTGCTAGCATCTGTAGACTGAAGGCAATTGTAAAGAAAAGAGACTACTTCACTGGTGAAAAGTAGGTGTTTGAAGACATCTAATATCAGTAAAGGTTTTGGGGGATCTTGTACAATTTGCTAAGAAAAGCAGCTCTAACCATGGAATCGTGGAATCATAGAATCTTCGTGTAGCCTGGATTGAAAGGGACCTTAAAGATCATTTAGCTTCAACCCCCCTGCCATGGACAGGGACACCTTCCACTAGACCAGGTTGCTGAGAGCTTCATCCAGCTCGACCTTAAACACTTGTAGGGATGGCACATCCACAACCTCTCTGGGCAACCTGTTCCAGTGCCTCATCCTCCTCATAATAAAGAATTTTTTCCTAATATCTAATCTTAACCTACTCTCTGTTATTTAAAGCCATTCCCCCTTGTCCTGTCACTACATGCCCTTGTAAAAAGTCTCTTTCCATCATAATCACTTTGAGGTATTCAGTCAATTTGGTCACAAGGGTTGTACAGACATAGAAAAAAGGAAGGAAGAGGGAAAAAGGAGTTTATAGCCTAAATACAAAATACCATTAACAGAAGAGAAGAAAGGAGAGAAAAAGATTGGGTTTGGTAACGAACATATTTTGGATGACAAAGAATATTGGTTTGGGTCCAGTCCTGCAGAGATTTATTCATGGACTTAACTTTATAATCTCTGAGTAGTCCACTTGACTTCAGCAGGATTAGTCAGTGTGCATCAGGTTAAAAACATATATAAATCTTTCTAGGATCAGAATATTTTTCTGCCAAAAATACCTACATATTATGAATTAAAATGTTGTGATTTTATAAATATAAACTCCAAAAACTGCACTTATTTATGCACTAAAATAGAAGGTAATGCAATATTAAATTTTTTAACAATAAATAGAATCAGTTAATTGAAATAAAGAGAAATTGTAATAAACTATCTGGTGATATATACATATTCTTTTCTGTGCTCTAGTTTTTAAGGACTTCATCAGAAATCAGTCTCAAAGTAATTAACTAGGTATGTAGGACAGAATCTTACCAATTTTTTATTGTTAAAGACTTTGTTTCTAGAGCTCTAGTCACAATTTTCTACTGTGTGCCCTAATTTCATGGGTTTTATAGCCTTTTCGAATGCAATATGGGTTGTGTTCTGTGTAAATTTACAGTAAATATTTACATGCATTGTTTTTTGCATTGTTTCAAATTATAGTGTGTAAATGTTGCATAATTCACATTTCAACAAGAAAAGGTGCATAGTCTAAGTGAGGTTTTTAAAGTCTGGATTAGATGGACACCAAATCCTCTCAGGTTATGTATGGATTTTCCTTCCGGTGATGTTTCCTTTTCAGTAACTATACACCTACACTTCTGCTGGCAAAATCATTCCTATCTCTGTTAAAGGAAAGAGAACAGAGGGGACTGTTTCGCTCCCTTTATTTGTTATGGAAATTTTATGAATTCAGCTGCAACATCATGGATCATTCTCAGCAAATGTACCAGATCTTCCACAGTAGTTGCAATTATTTAAGACCTTCTTCTAATTATCATCCTAGAGGCACAAAATACAGCAAAGCAACACATTTATAATTATTCTTTCTATTATGATAATGGATAGGTGAAAAGGTCAAAAATATTATAAATAAGGAATCACTGGGCTAAAAAATAGTGGCAGCAACTTTCTGTCTGAGCATGACCTGCTGGTCTAGTTGGTATGCAATATGTTGCAGTGCTGTAGGACACATACTGGTGCCCTGGAGCAAGAGCTTCAGAGAGAATTATCCAAGTCTACCTCTTCCATAAAACCAGACAGGGATTGGTAAGGTTATACACAAGACTTTAACCTCACTGGCACTGCTGGGTACCTAATTCGTCTCAGTACAGAGAAGCATGGAAAATACCATGGTGTTGTGTGGAGAAAGCACTTCTACAGGGGAAAAAAATTTCCTTAAGCATCAAATTATGCAGATGCAGCCATAAGCAAGGGTATGAGCAATTACATTCCACCTCCAAGCCACTTTTGAAAGTTTATTACTGAGAAAAAATACTATTGAAGGGAAACATGTAAAAAGGTTTAATGTCATGGAATAGATTAAAAAAAAAAAAGAAAAAAGAAAGGCAGAATGTCAATTTGCAAAGATAACAGAATGGAACATGCATGTATTGGAACAGTTGCAACCTCATTGATACATAACAAAGAAGAAAAACCACTTTTGATTTCCTTACACTGATGAAACCTGATAAGTAACCACATGTTGAACTTCCGCATATTACAGCACACTGTACAGAAACTACTGGAGAATAAGACCCAGATCTGAACCTATAGTCTTTATTTACTCTCAACACTAATGATCTATGAAGAACAGTTTCATTTTTTTAACAGGAACAAATTTAGGCAGAAGTGCAACTCATCGTGAACATGGCTGCTGAATTGAATGCACAGGACAGAGTCTGAATAGAAAATCTCTTTCCAAGAAGAGTAATAAGACAGAAAGGGAGAATTCTTTATATACATTTTGAGACATAATCTTAGAGTCCATCAAACTGAGTGGTTTGTTTCGGTTTTTTTTCCAGAAGATCGCTTACCTTTGCTAAGCATTATGAAACTTTGCATCATATAAGCATCACAACTGCAATTTTCAAACTGTGTTCCACAAAGCCCTGCCATCAGTACAGCATGGCTGTAGGTGATTACCATCTCAGGGCAGGGAAGTCACATCCCCTCACAGGACAGCTAGTGACTCGCAGGAGCAATTAACCCTGAAAAATCAGGTGGTGCAGTACTGTTGAAAATGGTACTTACTGTGCATATGGTGGAACAGAGAGCTGATTTATAGGTTGATGAGTTTATAACTTTAAAGCACTTCTTTTTCCTTATAAAATGAGTGACAGAGAATTTGCAATGAATTAAAAAGAGTGAAGATTAGATTATTGATTTATGTGTTGGGCTATATGTCAGACTCATGTAACGATCCATTTGCCTTTGGTAAGCTATAATTAGTGGCATTGTAGACAAATACATGAAGTAGAGATCTTATGTTAGGTAGTAAAATGACTGGTCTTTAATGTCTTTATCAATAATTATCTAATTATAACTGATAATTATCTAATAATACTTTTATCTTGATACTTTCTCAGGAATAAGATATTGTTGGTATTTTCCCATAGTGTTCATTCTTTAAGGGTACTAAGCATGGAAGTCTTACCTGGAGTGTGTTTTATCCAATGTTTGTTGAATGTGAAGGCTAATCTTTCCTGGATGAAATCTGCACTGTTATAATATATATCTTAGAAAGTAAGTAGTCATGCTTAAAGAACAAACGCAAGTTTAGTAAGATCTGCCTTCATTTTTAATTAGAAAACCTCCATAGAAATCTGCTATTATATTTTTTTTTCTTAAGAATCCACTTTCATTTCTGCTGGATATGAATTTTTTTTTGTTCATTGTTTTCATCAAAAAAGTACTGAATATTGTAACACATGAGGTAAAGTACACACAGAAATATTGCTGGCTAATATATCAATTTCTAAAATAAATATCTGGGGATTTAAACTTACCAGAAGATTGTGCTTGAGAAGCCACAAGGTTGCCCAGTGTGATGATCATTGAACATGCTTGAAAGATGAGTCCCATGGCTGTAGTGACACAACAGACTATGAACACATGAGTAATCATAATTTCTGGATTTACTGTTTGATCACTTTATACCAGAGGCTGGAAGGAACCGGAGGAAATGACTGCAGGAAATAAAAAGTTAACAGATATCTAGCTACAGATAGATCAGAAGCGCAGGACCTTCTTTGTACTATGTAACAAAACAAAACAAAAAACCCTATAAAAATTAATTCCTCAGAATATGAGTATTACTCTTGATATCTTTATCTTCTCAAAGCTGTATCAGTCAGAAGTGACCAAAGACCTGATCCAAACAAGGACCAGGTTGCTGTGCATAGTTATGACTGCATAGAATAACAGAATCAATCACAGAATCACAGAATGGGTCTAGAGTGTTGGAAGGGACCACAGTGGAGCATCTGGTCCAATCTCCCTGCTCAAGCAGGGTCATCCTAGAGCACACGGCTCAGGATTCCATCCAGAGGGTTCTTGAATATCTCCAGTGAGGGTGACTCCAAACCTCTCTGAGCAATCTGTTCCAGTGCTCAGTCACCTGCACAGTAAAGATATTTTTCCCTTGGACTACATTTTGCTTCCAGTGTCTCAAGTAGGGAGGGAGAGTAGAAGCTTTGTCAGCAACACATGGTACTAGGTAGGAAGCTGAATCATGGCTGCGAATACACCCAGAATTGCTGTCAGGATTTCTTTCTAGGCTTGTTTTCATTCCTCACAGAGCTTTTCCTAAAATGTTTACCGTCCTTTTTAATCCAACAGTACTGTTTGTCAGATGAGACCCTTTTCAGCTTTTCGCATATTCAAAGTCTCCAGCTAGGTAATGTGATATGAGTTTTGTATCTGGCTATTAATTTTTCTTTGGTTGGCTACTTTCACTGTCTTATCCATTGCTTGTCCCAGGAAGACCCACTCAAATCTCAGTCATTCTTGGAAACCCCAGCACGACTGTCTGACATACATACAGCATTCTGTTAACTGTCTAGCCTGCTCTTTGATCAAGTTCCTCCAGGGAGGCATTAATTCCTGGAACTAGAATAACAAGCAACACAAGAGTGAAATTCTAAACTAGGTCAGAGGTGATAGATAATGGAAAGCTGAAATTGCTCACAGTTTCCACAGTCAGTATCACAAAAGCCAGTGAGATACACAAACAAGGGCAAAGATCCCAAATCCTTTGGTTCCCCAGGACATGGCAACTCCCATATGTCCCTGTTTAGGTTAAAAACGCATTTTCCTTCCAAAAAATGTATCTCGTCTTTCCTTACAGAACACATGAGTGTGATGGAGCTGAATTTGTCCCTGTCTGCTTTTCATACAGATAAAATACCCTGGACTACAGACTTCCTAAGGCAGTCTATTATTTGGAGGAAACGGGTGTGGAAAAATAATATAAAAAAGAAAAGATATCTAAAATACCCTCTGGACTATAATTATTCTGATTTTGAGACACTTCCTCTAAAGTAAGGCCTAATTCTTAAGTGAAAACAGTGTGTTTTCACTCACCATTTCCTTCTACCAATTATTTTGGGACCAGAAGTAATCATTCCTCCCACCAGTTTCAACTTCTTTTTCAGATACTGAGGGCCTCTTGAAGTCAAACAAAATTTCTCTTTTTATGACTTTTGAACCCAAACCTAGGGCTGAAGTCTTGGGGAATAAAAAAAAAAAAGCAACATCTGGGTCAAAAAAACTGCTTGCATAAAGCTGATGCACTGTCAAACTATTTTTGATACTGCGGAGAGAAACATTAGATTTGGCACTTGAGGGACAGAGGGCCTAGGAACTTCCCACCTCCCCCCCATGCAGGCAGACACTGGCCCAGCCACCTGCCTCAGGTTCTGCTTACTGAAAGCCATCTCTAATTACCTGGTTTGATTTTTTTCGTGAGCCCAGTCCATGAACTGGAAAGCTGCCTGTGAGCCACGGGATCTGTTCTTTCCCAGGACTTTTTCTGCCTGCCTGCCTACAGGAGTGTGGTTGATTAGCTTGCCCATATCCTGTTGGTCATTGCTCCCAAGAGGACAAGGACAGAACACTGTCACAATGTATCCCCTCTTCAAGGCTCACACACAGTGCAATGTTGGCATGTTTGGTCTGAGCAAACAAGATCCATCCTGATAGTGCAACTTCATGTGGGAACAGGGAAAGCAAAGGGTGATGGTGAGCTGAAAATCAGCAGCCAGGGCTTCTGATGATAACTGCCAGCAGAGAAAATTCTTAGCAAGGCACACAGATGATGAGGACAATGTAAGTAATGCAAGTGAATTAAAAGAAGCCCTTTTGACTTCATTTTGCATCAAAACCGCACAAACAGCCCTTGGCCCTCTGCCAGCTCCTCCACCCATAGCAGCAGCTCTTGGGTGGCTGCACTTGCCAGCTGCAACCTCCAGCACCCTCACTGACTTTCCTCAGCTTCCTTCCTCTCTTTTTATTTCCCTTTCTATTATTTCATTGGTGTGTTAAATGGGTCTTTGATCACTGCATAGTTCAGCAACGCAAATTGTCTCAGTTTACTTTTTTCTTCACTTAGAACCAAAACAATTAATAGCCTGTGAGTAACTTTCATTTAGTGTTGCTTACTTACTCATGGCCTTGGTAACAGACTCTATATAAAGCCCCACAAAATAACAGGGATTACGCCTTTTTTTGCAGCAATGATCCCTTGTAATTTTTAGCATTAACAGGGAACAATTTCAGTGTGCTTTGAATGAGTGGGATAAAGGGAAGAGTGACCAATTTATCTAAAATAGTGAGTCTCATCACCCCCTGACAAATCAGTTGAGTTAACTTGAGACAGTGCAGCCCACTGTTGTGACAGAACAACCTGATTCTGTGTTTTAACTAGCTACAAAGTTTATGTGTAAAGATCTCTACTGTACTCTCTGGACCCTTCTTCTACGCATGGGAAAAGCTATGGGGAGTATTTCTCAAGCACCTCTGGCATTTTTAAATTCACATTCTTGTTCAATCACTTTAAAAAGTGTCACTTGCTGGTCTTTCCTTTTATCATCATGGTTTGGCCTTTCCTAGAGTTTTTTATGAATAACAGGAAAACAATGAAGGAAAAAAAAACAAGGAAAGATGGCAGGTGACCTGCATGGATGGTCAAGGAGCTCCTATTAGAAATCAGATATGAAAAGGAAGAACACAAGAGGCAGCATCTGGTTGACCTTGTAGGGACAGGGTTAGGAAAGTCAAGGCCAACATGGAGGTGAGCCTGTTAAGGGATGTGAAAGGCAACAAGAAAGGATCCACAAGTATCTAAAACAGTAAAACTAAGGAAGACATGGATCTGCTGCTGAATGAGGTAGGGAACTTGATGACACAAACGGTACAGAAAATGCTGAGGTACCCAGTGCCTTCTATGCTTCAGTCTTTACTAACAAGACCAACCTAGGCTTTCACACCAGTGGAAAATTCTGGAGCCAAGAACACTCAACCTTAAGAGACAAACACCAGGTTAGTGAGCATTTTATCAAACTCCATGTCCCTTAAGGTTACGTAAAATTAGGAACCTCAAGATTTAATGATATACAATAATAATAAATAAAATACATAAGTACACTATTACAGTCCTGTAATGTTATGAAAGATTAGAGGGTAAAAATAACTTCTGTGACTTTCAGTTACTCTCCTTGGAAGAAGCCTGCTGCTTCCATCTCCCATATTTTGACTTATTTTTGAAATTTCCAATCCTCTGGCACTTTCCTTTGCAAAATACCCAACACAGCCTTGTTCGTTCCTGGTAAAAGGCAGGACTTCTGTCATCCAGGAACAATCTTGCATTGTAGGCAAAGGGCTTTATTCCCATATCCTAAAATGATAAAGAAGCTGAGAGGAATGCAACCTGAAAGGACCGTGAACATATGTACGGGAAAAAGGTGTGACTTATTAAAGAATACATAAGCAATAATAGGAAATTATGGTACATTGCATGGGAGAAGAGAAGATGTAAATATTCCTTTAGGAATTAATTTCTAGAAGAAAACATGTTTTACTAAGGTGAGTACATCCTTCTGCCTATGTATCTTCCTCTCTATTTAAAAAAAAAAAATAAAGCAGGGGAGACAATAAGAATCCTCAAATTAGTTAATGGTGTTTCCATTGCTAAAAAGAAAGAACAAGTAATGGAGCCAATACAAACCCAGTAATCTTTCCTTATCCCACCATAAACCTATTTCATCCCATGTATCTCACTTCTTCCCAAGCCTTCACCTACTGAGTGCAGGGGGTACAAGACCACATCAGGAATAAGTCAGGTTATTACTTAATCTTTCAGTGTTTGAACTGCTTTGGAATATATTCAACAAAACATGCAAGGCAAAGTGGTAAAACACCTCTTAGAAATCACAGCACAAATAGAGAAGATTTGGTGGTTAAATAACCATTTCAAGACTGGATCATAAGTTACTCAACGGTTGGGGCTGCTTTCCCAAAATTCTGGCCTGCCTTTCAAGTCATGAGAGAAAGAGCATTGTTTCTAAAATGAAACTTTCATGTCCCACACATAAGGAAACTCTACACTGACCAATTTATTGCAGAGGTTCATGGCTATCACTGTTGTCATTTCAGCTTCTGGAGCCCATAATGGCATTTAGTTCTCATTTAGCAAGTTCATGTGAAACTTAACTTCAGTGGAAGTTGTTAGAAAGTGTAAGAGAGAGAAAGAATAAGATTTGATCTTGATTTGCTTCTGTGTTTGCTGAGTATAGATACTTGTCCCCAAGGGTGACGTGAGGGGTGAGCCTGCAAAGGAAACAGGTGAAAGCCAACAAGGTTTTGGCTGCAACATGTGGATTATCTCTAGGGCACAAAGACAGGGTACCAAGCAGACACTGATTTAATGTTGGTGTTCTTGTAAGGTGTTGAAGACTCCTGCACATACTGGTGAGTCTCAAACAGTCAGGAAACTCCGTGAAGCACACCCTGGGATTTCCAGCCAACTTCCCTCCCCCTCCTCCCCTGACTGCTGCAGACAGTGAAGGGGAGGAGATAAGGATTCAGTTTAAGAGCTCTTCTGTAGAAGCATCTGCACATGCAGTTATATAGGAGATACTGAATGTAAGATAAGAATATTAAGAGTTATGTTTTTCCATACTACTTTCAGCTTTGTATGAATCCACTTGCTTTCATGTATTATGACTAAATGCAGTTGATGGATTTTTCTGCTGCTGGGTGCCAAATTTGATATTCTGAGTCAAATTAGATTATTGAAATATATCTATTTTCTTGTTTACAGCTGTTTGGGCTTTCCACTGGAAAAGGCCAAGTAACAGACTGTTCCTACAGCCTCTTGTGTGGCTTCAATGGTGCAAGCTACAGCAATAGCAAATGAATGTTCATAACCTTCCAGCTAGCAGTTCATTTCAAGAGATTGGGATCCAGTTCCAATATGCACTGACTTACCTTGAAAAAACCAAACCCACCACATTTTACTCACTGATGATATTAAACGCTGTTGTTTTTTTCAGCAGCTTGCCAAGAAGAGGGTGTGTTGGAACAGGCTAAGTGCTTTCCACACTTACTATCTGTGCTCAATCTAATACTAAATATTTGTGGCATGTAGAAAAAAAACATATCTAGAAAAAGAAAAAGTGTAAAACAATGTTAGATTCAGTAGTCAGTAATCTCAGATGTACTGAGGTGACTGTAGATTCTTTTCTTTGGAAAGGATTTTAATCCTTGTCTCTGTATTTGTTTTGAAAGATGCAGGTACCACACTGATTTAATATGCTAGGCAGATTATTGAATTTACTTCTATTTTTTTTTTTTGGGTAAAATTAACTCTTCACAAGAATAAACTGTCCAAAAATTAAAGCATACTATCAATTCCTTTCTTCTGAAACTACTGAGCAAGGAATTCCAGTAACATAGGATTTTATTTTTCTAACTGGAACTGATATCTGTTGGTATTTTCTTATTGAGAATTTTTATTTGCTTTCTCATATCATTGCATTTCTATTCCCACATGGACTTTGACTGAGAATCATCACTTTTCACCTCTAAAATGCCAAAATTCAATCACAGAAAGATCTGCAAAGCAGTTACTTGGAATTGAGCCCTGTGAACCTGTGATACACTGAACAGTTCATTCTAATTTTCTTAGCAGATTAATTCTCTCATGAACCAACTGAACTTTCTGTTCCTGAAAACTCCCACATTCCATCATTGTTGTTGGCACTGTTCTAAAAATGTTACAGATTGCAATCACTATTTGAATATATTTTAGTGCTCAAGTTTATATCTTGCACAACAATCTGATAACATGAAAGATATTTTGAACAGCATTCCCTTGATCTTGAAATTAGATGTTGGGTTAATTTAAATTAAGATTAAAATCAACAAGTATTTTAGGCCAGTTACAGGGCAGTGCAGGAATCAGAATATGAGAGCAGTGGACCATGAAGGAGAATCTCCTTATGCTGATGTTACTATCAGGAAAAAGGTATACCTCGGTCACAGTGATGGATTTGGACCCCTTATTGAGTCAAAGGAAATACAAACAGATACTTTTATGCAAATAGCACAATGCACTGCATAAGTAGCTACAGATGGCAACTGTCTTTACTTTTCCAGGATATTTAACACTAATGGGTTTTGATAGAGTATAAACTTTGGGAAGGGCTTTTGAATCATACTAAAACTTTGGAGGACCCTGAGAAGAGCTGTAGATTTGCTGTTACAGTTTATCTAGAAAAGGTTTGCTCTGAAGATTTTTATCTGCACTGAGCAGCAAGCAGGAAGCAGAGATTCCTGATCTCACAGCCCAAGGAGTCACCAACAGTATGTCATCTGAAAAGGGAGATAAACAAGGCATTTAAATTCTGCTCTTGCTCTAGGAAGATCATATTGCTTATTTTCTTTTCTTCTTCACCCAATTCTTTTAACATCAGCTATTTGAATGCATGCCCCAGAACAGGCATATTTCCACATTAACTTTGCCTGTGTTTTATGAAGG